TGTTGTAAGCTACTGTCATTACCTGCATCTCTCTCTCTCTCTCTCTTTCTGTCTCATTGTGTCATATGGATTACTGTTAATTTATTATGCTGATCTGTTCTGTACGACATCTATTGCACGTCTGTCCGTCCTGGAAGAGGGATCCCTCCTCAGTTGCTCTTCCTGAGGTTTCTACCGTTTTTTTCCCCCGTTAAAGGGGGTTTTTTTGGGGGAGTTTTTCCTTATCCGCTGTGAGGGTCTTAAGGACAGAGGGATGTCGTATGCTGTAAAGCCCTGTGAAACAAATTGTGATTTGTGATATTGGGCTTTATAAATAAAATTGAATTGAATTGAAGTCAAGTCTTTAATCAACGTTGGTCAAGCAATTCTGAAGTCATCATATTTGCGACTGGAGTCTGACTCAAGTCAAGTCATGTGACTCGAGTCCCCCATCTCTGCAATGCAGTGGTTTGCTTGGAAACTTTGGGTCCAGACATTTATGTGGATGCCACCAGGCATGCTCCACCCTCTCAAACACTGTTACAGACCAAGTACCCTGCCTCATAGTAATGGTAAACCCTTCCAGCAGCAGCCCCCAACAATGCGCCATGCCACAGCACAAAAATGGCTCAGGGATGGTCTGAGGAATATGAGAAACCTGGCCTCCAAATTACCCAGATCCCAATCTAATCGAGCATCTGTGGGACATCCTGGTACCCCACCTGGCAACCCACAACCAATGCCCTGGTGCCAGACACCACAGGAGCAGAGGTCCTGTATAGATGCCTCAACAGGTCAGAGCCAAGTCTAATTCAAGGGTGCCCCACTGTGGATCAGGGGCACCACTGGGGTACTGGCACATCCCATGAGTGCTCAATCAGATTGAGATCTGGGGTGCATTCTGAACGGCATACCTTTTCTTTTCACTTTTAGTAGGTACTTCAAGCTGCCCTTAAAAAGTGGACACTCCTATTATTACTATTCGACTGGTCATCAGTTACTTGAATGTGCTGTTATCCATCATTGGGACTTCTCTGTTTGTGGCTCAGTTGATGTGACGTATTGTCCACTGGTCAGAGGATTGTGTGTCAGAATAGCCAGGCCAAGCCATGCTGGCTTGTATACTGCGAAATCGGATCGGATGTAGTAGAACATCTTGGTATTTTGGCATACTGCATCTCACATAGTATGTACTGGGACATACTATATCTTTTACTGGCATTCTAGGGTAGTATGGGTATTGGAACGCACAGCTGGGGAATTTGGAGAGGGGGTGAGGTCATCAGTGAGTGCCGTTGCCATGAGGGTGGGCGTTTGGGTCACTTCACCCAATGGTGGTGTTAATGTTTTGGCTGATTGGTGTATATGTCTGCAAAAGCAAAGTTCCTTTCATGGTCAGTTTATCTGTACAGTGGATTAAAGGCTGACTGTATAATAGTATATTTTTTCAATGTTTCAATTGCCCTCATTGTGATACTTTGACTTCTTGCATTGAATTTACTACTATAGTCTTGTGCTCATTAGTGAAAAGATATCAGTGTGTTAAGTCCATCTTAAATCAAAAGATGTCCAGTATCGCAAGTCATCTGTGAGTGAATAAAGATGTTTCGGTTGTCCCCGGTCTCCCGTACTGAATGACTCACATTGAGGAGGAGGAAGCGCGGTGTGTTAGAGGTTATGAAGGAGTGGCTTCAGCACGCGAGCTGTTTACAGTCATCATCCAGGCTCCCGGTTCGTCGCAGGGCAGCAGCCATGTTGTAACTTTTCCTAAAGTCCGTCCAAGTTTTGTGGCAGCTGTTCGCTAAATGCTGGTTTTCATTTGACCTTAAAATGATCTCCAGCAGTTTTCTAGTCGCAGTGCAGAGAGGATGCACGCAGACCTTCACACGACCTATTTCCTTTTCGATGGTGAGACGTCTTCTTTGTCTAGACGCTAAAAGTCACAGTATTTGAATCGTTAAATTTCCTATTACCTTCATACAGATGTATCGCACATTTAGCAGGGTTTTTCAGAGTGCTGAGTCATGATTGGAAAGGTACAATGTAAGACCTGTATTTGTTTTATTCATGCCTATACAAATGCAAACACAAAAGCTGGCACGCCTTAATTCACCTTTAGCACCGATGTGTTGTGCCCAACACGCCCGCAGGTAGGTCACTTGGGTGACAGTGATCACGGGCGCATCACGAGACAATGGGCCCCTGGGCACAGATACGCAAGGGGCCCCACCACCTCTTCTAAGCAGGAGCAAGACACACAGACGTTGTGGTGGTTTGTTTCTCTTATGCATTTTTTTAAAGGTTTTGTGTCTCTTTGTGGTGGTTTGTGTCATTTTGTAGTCATTTGTGTCCCACAAGGGAATTTTGCATCTTGTTAAGGTTATTTTGAGAATCTTTGGGGGATTTTTTGTCTTTTTGAGGTAATTTTGAGTCTTATTGAGGCAATTTTGCGTGTCTTTGCAGTAATTTGTGTAATTGAGGTAATTTTGTGTTTTACTGAGGTAATTTTGCATGTCTTTGGGGTAACTTTGTTTCAATTAGGTAAGTTTATTTTTCTTTGGGGTAATTTGGGTCTCATTGAGGTAATTTTGTGTGTTACTGAGGTCATTATGTGTCTTACTGAGGTAATTTTGTGTGTCTTTGGGGTAATTTGTGTCTTATTTAACCCTCTAAAGGGACAGAGAAATTCCATTGAGAAAGCAACAAGTCTTTGGGCTAACTGTTTTGTCTTACTGAGGTAATTTTTTTGTCTTATTGAGGTAATTTTATGCGTCTTTGGTGTAATTTGGGTCTCATTGAGGTATTTCTTTGTGTCTCTGAGGTAATTTTGTGTCCCTTAGAAGTCATTATGTGTTTTATTGAACTTATTTTGTGTGTCTTTGGGGTAATTTGTGCATTATTGAGGTCATTTTGTGTCGTACTGAGGTCATTTTGCGTGTCTTTGGGGTAATTTTTGTCATTTTTGTGTCACTTTGTAGTCATTTTATGTCTCCAAATGGTTGTTTTGTATCTCTTCCCCTTTTCTGTAGTTATTTTATGTCTTTTTTTGCAGTTCCTTTGCATCTCTGTGATCATTTGAGTCTCCCCACAGTCAGTTTGTGTTAAGTTGGGTGACACCTTGCAGGTTAAGGTCACTTTGGGCCCCTGGGTCTGGGCTCAGTAGGTCCGTTCAGTCATCCATCCAAGTCAGCAAGATGCAAATTTATAAAATATGTCAGAAAGTAACTATTTTCTGCCCTTTTTTATGGTTATCTGCTGTTACAAAGTGTGTTCTTGTATCAGTTGTCAGTTATTTTCTATCAGTGAATCAGTAGTAGTTTTTTTCCCACCCTTGAACTGTTTATTTAAAAAATCTGTCTGCTTACAAATCTTTGTGATGTTATCTGTAGTTATCTCCAGAGGGGTATTCCAGGTAGGAGGTTCAACAAACTCTGAGTCTAACCCTGAACTCTGAGTTGATTTACCCTGAGATGGGAAACTCTGAGTTACTGGTTCCAGAACAGCTGATCTGAGTTAGTTCAGTCAACTCTTGAGTATGTTCACTCTGAGTTAAGCCGACAATAAAAAGCCATCATCAATGGAGGTCCGACTCCACGATTCACCATGGCAACAAGTAAATAAAAGACAGCGCCTCCATTTTAATCCAGTGGATGTAGCTATATTAATGCACGTGTAGCAGATGGTGCACGTTTATCTTTAAAAGAAGAGCCTGAGTCAGAGCGAGGAAAATGTAAATAAGTTAACCATAAAGTTAATAAAAAAGTTTGATTCAGTGTTGTCCATTTATTCATCATTTATCAGACTTACATTTCCTTAATGAAGATAAAGTGGCTGTGTATCAGGCTGTAGATACATTACATTATATTAATATATTTGTTCAGATTTAATCTGATGGGGAAAAACACAGGAGGCAGCAACTGAAAAATAGGAAGATTTAAAACATATAGGCTAGGCTATAGATCAAAGACATAAAGACATGACTGTAAACTCACAGTCTGACCTAGTAATAATATGTTTGGTGATTTACACTTGAAAAGATGTTGAGGTTAAAATACATATATTTTAAAATGTTGGACATCTATTTGTATCTTGACTCTACAGCATTCAGTGACTTTATTTCAGCTATGAATGTAGTAAATTTAAAGACAGTGAAATGCTGCACCATTGCTCACTCAGAAATATGAACATATAATCCCCAATATTAGGCTATAGGAATTATGTTCCATCAGTGCGACCAGTGACATCAGTGACAGAGATCATTAGTCATTGATACTACGTGTCTAAAGCTTCATACCCATTTTTAAAATTTAAATAATTAGACCTACACATTATGTGCAATAAACATTTGGGAGCTGCTCTAACAGACTGACAGTCTGATCCTTCTGCACAGTGTTACACAAAATAATAAATATAAAAAGGACAGAGGTTTGATTCTGAGCTGAGGGTGAATTCTCGCTGTGTAATATTTGAATGTTAAGACAAAAACCGATGTCCAAAGAAATGATTGATGTGCATAAATTCAGTAACTTAAGACAGTCCTGAGTAACAAACTAATATCCAGCAGGATTTAGACTGTGACGGACGTTAAATCTCCGCTAATTAACGCGCTTTGATACAAGCTTTGACACGGACTGAAATGAAGAAGACAGAGAAAAACTCAGGGTTTATTGAAGAAAACCTGCCAGCGAGCAGGTTAGGTTCACAGACTCAGTTGCCATGGTGATTGACTCAGAGTTTGATTTACCTCTCTTTCTGGAACTGAAAACCCAGAGTTTCCCTCATTTCAGGGTTAACATACTCAGAGTTTTCACTAAACCCGCTTTCTGGAATACCCCTCTGGTGCTCTGTGTCACATGTGATTGTTTATTCTGTGTGCAGGTTCAGTGCTGCCTGCAGTCTACGCAGGCTATCCCTGCAGCGCGGCTGCCTTACAGAGTGAAGGTGTCTGCTGGGAAACGCTACGCCTGGTGTGCTTGTGGACACAGTAAGAAACAGGTGAGAATGCATGGTGTGCTGGGCTTTAACTTTGAGAGGTACCTGGGCTAAAAGCAGGATGCTTAGAGGCTCATTTACTGCTGCCCATGTCCAGTTTACATTCCCACCACTTTATCTTAAGTGCTATATCATAGGCAACTGGATGCCTACGATAAAGTGGATGCAGAGTAGCAGACTATCAACTGTGTGGTTGTGAACCCTTACAGAGTCGTTGAGGTCACGTGATGTGATGTGATGTGATGTGAAACTCAGAGCTCACATGCGACCTCATACGACCTTCTGAGAGGCAGTTTGGTGGTGGAGACTTGAATTTATTCCTGTGACTGACTGACAGTAAGGAACATGCGAAACTGACAGCTGAGGTCTTTTTTTTTTTTTTTAAGTTTGTCAGCAAACTAGGCTGATGTATGCAGCGATCCCCAGTTAGGTAAAGGAGAGAGCCAAACTAGATTAACTGCAAACATAACAAAATAGATATTAGACTTGGCAATTATTATCTCTTGAGCCCAAGAGACAACATGTCGGATTTGACTGACCTTTTAACATAATTACCCGGGAAATCCTCAAGGTTCTTCCATGGCAAACTTTTGACTTGTCACAGCAGGAAAAGCACAGGTGTAACCAATCACGTTAACGACGTCCTCGTTCTGTTTACTTGTCTCAGTGTTGAAAACAGTCAGGCAGTGTGCACAATAGGCAGGGCCCTGTGGCTGACACACCTAAAGAGTGCAGCCATAATTAATGTCATTAAATACACCTGGGCTTTTCTGTTTATATGCCACTATGTCTGCTGTGAAAAGGGACTGTAGCAGCAGTAGATCTGTGTGTATCTGTAGTAAACTGACCAGTTACATTTAGCGATACAGGCCACATCAGCAAGGAAGCATAATATATTGAATGATTGTTTGATGATTTTGTGTGCCAAAATAACTGGTAAAAAATATGTTCAACTAACTTTAAAATACTGAACCCTGAACAATCTGGTTTTCGGTGTGAAAACATTTATGTGAACTGAAGATGATTTTCACACTTTTATCTTCTTCCTCTTTCAGCCTTTTTGTGACGGCGCTCACAAGTCCAAAGCTCCAAGTATCTCCCCTCTACGCTTCACCCCCGACAAAGACAGGATGGTCATGCTGTGCGCCTGCAAGCAAACCAAAAATGCACCGTACTGCGACGGCTCACACTTGAAGGTCATCTTCCGGGATATAGTGAAGTCAGTGAAAGGCGTCTTTAAATGAAAGACAATAATTTATCTCGACTCAACATAAATGCAGTAGTTGTGGAGATGTGATGTCCAGCACAATTTTGTCCTTGTCATTCCTCGTCAGGCTGATATTTTTGTCTGTATAATTATATTGGGTTTTTTTTTTTTTTTTTAAATATATTAGTTTGCCTGAATGTTGTATATAAATGCATAACCCAATAAAACATACTTGAAAATATATATTTGTGTTGCATCACAAACTTGTGCAGATAATTCTTCAGATTTTAATTACTTTTTTTACAGTTTCAAAATAATAGTAAAAAGGGGGAAAGTGCAAAATTTTGATAACCGTTTTTAATTATACTTTATTTTTGACAACTACACTTAGGTCCAAACCCAGGTAATTTCCTAATTAAGGCTTTAATTAGTATCTGGCTGTGGCCGCTTTCCTGTCAGATTGATTGGCCCTAAAACCTGATGAGAAAATACGAACACACACATCACTGCACAGGAGCTGCAAACACTGGTCTAGTTTAAAGGACAATAATAAAACATCTGGTATGGTGAAACATCTAATAGGATCTAAGTTTCTGGTCTGAAATCCCGAATTTTACTGTGTTTTATGTATTGATGTTTTTTGTGTCTTTTCTATTGGGTGTAATAGTGAAAAAAATGGGATATCAGTATTACCATTTCTCCTTGCCTCCTAGCCTAAACTTTAGGACAGCAGTGGAAATAAATCACATGTTTTTACATGAAAGCACAACATCTTTAAAATAACAAAGACCTGCTTTGCAGAGGTAAAAGACAAAAGCTTTTCCTATGAATTGAACAGTATCCAAAGAAAACGAGAACTTTTTTGAACAATGTGCCCTGGACTGACGAAACTAAAATGGAAACTTGTGGTCAGGAACAAAGACCGAATGCTTGGAGAAAAAAGCATTCATAAAGAAAAACACCTTGACAGCTGTTAAACATGAAGGTGTATCCATGATGCTTTGGGGTAGTGTGCCAGGTGGGGGTCAGGAAATACTGTGCAAGTGGAGGGAAGAATTTGTTCCACCAAATGTCACAAATTCTAGAGGCTAATGTTCAAAGGACAGTTCAGACACTGAAGTTGAAAAGAGGTTGGGTATTTCAGGCAGACAATGGTCTGAATTATACCTCAAAATCAACCATGAAGTACCATCGAGAAAGACAGATGGAGGTTTTGAAACAGCCTACACAGAGCGGAGAGATTTCAAATATACCGTGTATGCAAGGAAGCCAAAGAATATATCTAAGTTAAAGGTGTTCTGCCAGGAAGAATGGGAGAACTATTTGATAACAAGATTTTAATGATTCTTGGCTAGAAGTACAAAAAAAGGTACTAACTTAAATGAGTCTTTAAGGGTGTTTTACATTGTTTTAAAAATATATATTTTTATGCTAAAAAAATAAAAAGTCATCTTGCCATTCAACTTGTTGTGTCTCTGGAATATTCACTGTAAAAGGCATTTTTATGAAGGGTGCCTACTTTTTTGCACACCACTGTGGTAAGTATGACTCATGTATTTTTGGTCATTTTTATTTAATGCTTTAAAAGACATATGTTGTATAATCATATGTCCCAGAGTTTCTCCACAAACATAATTATATTTTCTCTAAAAATGTGTTTAATTGCAGTATTTATTCATTTATTTATTTATTTATACTGTTTTAACTTGTCACACTTCTTGGAAATACTATCTGCTCTTTAAAAATACCCACCAAGTGTAACTTTAAATAATTTTAATTGAATTAAATAAAATCATCATTTCTGTTTTGCAAAATAATACCAAACATGATACTGTCTCTGGAGATGTGTCCTCAGTAGTAGCTTCAGCAGCCTGGTCCACACATACAAATCAGTTCCATTCAATCTGCGGCTGACCGATATCCGAATCCTGATTGGTCCAGCCTCCAACACGTGACTCTACCGGAAGCGACTTCTCCAATCGCCTACCCTTGGCCAGCTGTCATGTCTTACACCGTATTGCACTATTTCTCAGTTTCTGTTTAATTTTTATTTATCAGTTTGATTGACCGTTTCTACTTCCTGTAGCTGTGACGTATTTGCGTCGCTACTTGTTGAGTCACATTCACGTGTTGTTTTAACTGCGCACAGCTCGAGCTGCACCTGGCTGAGTTTGAATTGAAGTTCAGCTGTCACAGGAATAATGAACACGTTGGTGACCAAGTTAGAGCACAAATGGATTAGTTTGACGTTGAAGCAACACTGGACAACAGCTATGGCAGCTTCCAAGGTAAATTACTACCTTATATAAGCCACTGTTTTTGTAAATATGACATTTCTGATACAGCTGGGCTGTTACGTCATAGCTGCTACTGTTTGTATCTCCATGTGTCCACTGACTGAATATTATTTGGACATTGTTGTCAATCTGAATCCAGTTTTGAGGTAGTTAATTTGTACTTTATACTTAATTACAACGAAGAAACACTGTATTTTTCAATTATCAAAAGTTTCTGACAGGTAATTTATTTCCACATGAAACAGGGTAGTGATAAAACAGCAGTCACAGTTTGTGAATAAACTATAGATGATAGTGTCAGTTAATGTGTAACATCAAAGCCCTGCACAGCTGTTTGTAACCTGGTTTGACCTTTCCTCAGGACTGTCTGACAGCACTAGTGTAGTTTTGATAAACATGGGCACAGTTAAGCTACAGTTTGGGCTATTTTGGGAATATGGTGTTGAGCAAATATCACCTGAGTGGGGTGTTTTAATCAGGCCTTTGTTGAAACGCTGCTTAAAGAGCCTGCACACCCACACAGGTGTTCCCACCTCTAGTTAATTTGATTTTGCTCACGTCAACTAAACCTAATAAACCAGTAAGAATCACTTAAGTTTACATTGTCCCACCTTAACTGGTGCATACAATCTGAACACAGAGTCAGGGAGATGTCAGTTAAGCAGTCTGTACACATCCACATAGTACTGAGAAGAGGGCTAGTCAGGCTAAATAAGTGTAAATGTGAAGGTGTACCATGGAGATGTGGGAGAATTGAACACTAATATTATTCTTAAACCCTGTCCATTACTCAGGTAGAGTACTGTTGAAGTATTAAAGCTGGGGTGGGATGGCAGAATTTGTAAATTCACCCTCCTCCTGCACTGTTCCCTCTCTATCCATAGCCCCTCCCACTAGATGACCATGAGCATTGTGCACTTTTTATATAGTAACCCAGTATTTCTCTTACATGGTATTATTTACTCTTATTTCATTGTAGTGTTGCACACAGCACATTTGCCCAGCCCCTCCTCGTCCTGCTCTCTCCGCCTTTCTCTGTATCAGACCACAAATGAGACAAGAATCAGCTGTCCTCACCACTGTGGACTGCCTCGCCAGGAGGAGAGCAGACAGCAGCTCAGGAAACGGAGCTATGGTTGTCAGCTAAAGTGACTTGAATTTGCCAGTGCAAACCCCACAGCACTGGGTGGCAGAGTGGGCTGGTGGCAAGCAGCAGTGCCAGGACTAACCTATGTAACAGCAGCAACAGAAAGTTTGCTGATCTGGCGGAGAGTCTGGGCTCTTTGGTCCCCTGGAGTTAGGGTTTGCACTTGCTGGATTCAGGTTTCTGTGGCTGCTGTTTCAGGGTCTGTGTTGATAGCTGCTGTCTGCTCTCCTCCCAGTGAGGTGGTCTGTAGCAGCGAGGAGTGAACAGTGTAGGCAGGACTCTTCGCCACTTAATTAGGCGTTTACTAAAGGCACAAGCGTCTGCATTTGGGAACGTATTAGGAACGCGCTCTCTCTGAAATTGGTTGAAGTCTCTCATCACGGACTAGATTTTCTAAAATAAAGCCTGAAAACAGAGCCAAGAGGAGTTGCAATTAGTTTTCTCTCAGTCCACTTAAATTACAATATGCTCAAAGTTTATTATGGGACTTTTATCCTAATGATGCCAAACTAAACCTGCCTACCCCAGCTTTTACTATCATATGCTTTACTTTAATCAACTATTACAAGCCAGAACTTGTAGCTTCAGTCGAGTAATTGTATCTTACAGATTTACTACATCTCTCTAAAGCAAACTGAGTACTCTTATGTGCCTCTGTCCGCAGGTCCAGCTCTCCACACTTCCTCCAGAGCCTGTCATCCCCTCTAAGAAGCCCTTCAAAGTGGAGCTGATTGGTGGAAAGCGTTACTCATGGTGCACCTGTGGACACAGCAAGAAACAGGTAAAACCATCTTTGTTTCCATGTTTCATCGCTCCTGTCTGAAGTACACGCCCCGTATACTCCCTGATCACGTCTTTATCTTTCAGCCTTTCTGCGACGGAGCCCACAAGACCAAAGCCAAAGGCCTGACCCCGCTACGCTTTGTCCCAGAGAAAGACGCCACAGTTTGGTTGTGTGGTTGCAAGTACACAAACAACCCACCGTACTGTGACGGCACACACAAGCAGGACTTCATTGTGTCTGCCCCACTACATGAACCAACTGACTCTTGAACAGGAAGGTTGTCTTAGAGGCGAGCATTAATGATGCTGTTGCGTTCACATGCACTTTAAGAAAGCAGAACAATCTGATCAATCATGACAAGTGTTTGAACCTTGTGTGTTGTCAGTGTGTATCTCAGTGCAGTGAAGAGAATGGTGATGAAGAAGTTAAAACCACAGTCCTCATTTGTCCTGCTGTCCGTCTTTTCTATGGTGGAGACAATGTGGCATTAACAGCAGGGTTGGATGATATGATGATATACTGTGATGTAAGAGAGGTTCGTGCACAGAGGGAGATTTTACCATATGGTTCATGCTGAGATGGCTAAAAAATCTTTGTTGTATTAGGCCATTGTGGACAATGTGCCATCTTGTCTTCCTTATATGCTTTTGTTTATTTAAGTTAAGAAATAAATAGTATATGCGACCTAACTGTCTGTTTTAATGATATCAAATAAAGACAAACTGTAAAAACTGACCTGGTTGGGTAATCTGTTGAAAAGAGGCTGAGTAGACACTGGTAATATCCTGTCATGTTGTACACAAACTTTTCTCGAATGTACAGATCCTTAGTATTGAGAATGTGTTATACTATGACAAAGTTAAGACCATCTTGTGACGGCACCAGCTGCGGTGTTAAATCAGTGTTTGTGTTGCTATGGCACAAATGACATGAGAGAATTGAGTTTAGCTGAACAGGTGAACTGTGCCAGATGTGTTCAGTATGCCATAGATTGTGCTGATCAGTTGACAGGAATGACTATTTGAAACTGGGATACAGTGATGCACAACTTAAAACAAATTTTGAGCAGGGGTGTAAAGTGGGCAACTCGACCTTGGCTCGAACTCGGCCATCTATCTCAGCCACCCACCTGTAGAGTTTTGTGACTGCATCCTGATTGGTTGTGACTGTGTCAGTAAAAAAAAGGCAGAAATACAGACAGACATATAAACATCTGCCAAAGTATTCAAAACCGCTTCTGAGATAGTCCGCTACAAGAAGTGTCACAAGGACCATATTTTGCCATGATTACACACACACGCGCACACGCACACACACACACACACACACACACACACACACACACACACACACATACATACATTCACCAAGTGAAAACGAGGGCTGGCTCTGGCTGTTGTATACCTCTTGGTAGAATCCAGAGCAGGCATGCCCAAAATCCAGCCTGGGGGCTAATTGTGGCCCATGGATCTATTTTAACAGCCAGCAGCTTGTCTTTCAAAATATACTAAATGTGGCCCAACACACAATATTGGTTAATTTTTTTTCATTCACCTTGTGATGGCAGGATTATCACAGTTTTAAACATGTGCCAAACAGGAACTACCCTGGCGGAACTGTGTTCTCATAAACAGGCGATAAACAAGCAAAAGAATGGTCAACAACAGCAGATATCTCCTGCAGACATGGCAAAGAAATGTCAAGTTGACTGTGAGGGCCGCTGCTTTCAGGAGCGGTAGAATGTTGAATTCTCTTTCAGTGAAAGATGAAGCAGTTACGTTTGTCTCTTTTTTAATCACCCATGTGATGCAAGAAGCAGCAGCTGGCCCCCAAGTATTTTCACTTTTTCTAACCCAGCCCCGATTCAAAAAACTCTGGACGCCCCTGATTTAGAGCGTGGTTACTCAAAGTGCAGACCATGGGCCAATGTTAGCCCTCTGAAACTAATTCAAACATACTGTGTGGCCCCCAAACGTTACATGAAATGCATGCATTATATTTTAATAATTTGCAGCCCATTTCAATACTTTAAATTTTAATCGCTTACATTTAATAAACTACTAGTAGACTGCATCAGACTGCTAACACGTGTCTGTCAGGTTAGGGAGGACAATTTGCACAAAGCGACTGGTTGCATGGCAACTAGCAGCCTCTCATAAGTGTTGCAGAATTTACATTCTGTCATCAGTGCTTGTGCTGTTAGGTAAAGTTAGTGATGTCCGTGGACAACCTGCAACTGCACTTTCCCTGTGTGGCCCTCAGTCATATGCTGGCTCCCCAAAATGGCACTCAGTCATCAAAACTTCGAGCTCTAGAGAGATACTCTATGTATCACTTTAACTACTGACTCTTAGTTGTACATGCACACACAGTAAAAACCCTTAAAAATCATGGGTGTTCAGATTTTAACACGCTGCTTGAGTAAAACTGAACTTACACCCAACTGCCTTTGAATAAAGACAGGATCTTAATGTTCACCAGCTGATTTTCACCCTGTAACTCATCTCCACACACTGTCACTCTTTCACATTCATCCTGCTCCTGATGGTGAATACATACAGAATCATAAACAGGACAGTCAGATCGGAAAAAAATAGTAAGTAAACATTTTTATTGACCTAAAACATGCACATATGGCTGATAAAAAAGTATCATTGTTTGTTGAAAAGAAACCAAAGGAATGTTGAAATCGATGGAACTACAACATACATGGCCAAATATTCAGAATCCCTTTTGAGTTCTTCGACTGCCATGAGAGAAAAGGACATGGTCTGCTGACAAACGTCTGCTCGAGGGCATGGTAGTGCTTGGAAATTTTGTAAATATAAATGCTTCTCCTGTTGGAAAATACTTGTCGGTTTTGAATTGTGTGATCTGACCTAAACAAAGTGCATCGACAGTTTCATGTACCTGTGTTACCTGATGAGCCGTTGCTTTTACCGGACACTTATACAGCAGTTATTAACATGACTGTTCAAAGGCAAGGATATGAGTTTGTTTTTTTACATCCAACTTGTGCAGTGACGGACACTGCGATGCCTTTCAGCATTTTGTCTCAAGTGTTATGGAGCCAAATCAACATTGATGGAACTACAGTATGAAATGAAACAGACCCACTGCATATACAATACAAAACGATTACAATATCTTGTATAAAAGATAAGTTTATACATATGTATGCACACATGCTCACATTTGATACATACTGTACAGTTTGTATGTGTGCACTGTTCTAGTCTAACACACATAAACACACACACTCACTTACATACATACAAGTGTCTATTTGGCTGCACTTTTCAGTCTCTCCTGCTGAAAGATAAGCGTAACCTGCCTCCTGTGTGTCCAGAGGGAAGAAGGCCCGAGCTCGTCTTTTCGCTCTGTCGAAAGAAAGAAGGGAGCAATTCAAACACTGTCCTCCCTGCCGCCCCGTGCACACGTTAGGTCGTCGGGGGCAAACCGCTTTTGTCGCCTCCCCTCACCTCCTCTTTGCCAGCCCCAGAGCTTGTACCATTGACAGTCACCTTCCGAGCGTTGGCGCCCTGTTTGGAGGCGAGGGTGTGTCGCTGAGTATTGTTGGGCACAGTGGTACCGTTGGAGCTTTGGATGGCGGGGGAGAGGTTGTGGGACGCGGGGCTGGACTGTGTGGAGGCGCGGGGAGGCTGGGCTGCAGCAGGACTGTGGACTTTGTCGCTCTGGGAGTCGCTCTCTGACGTCGGGCTGGTGTTGACGCCGTCAGAGTGGCCCTGGGCGGCAGACTGGGACGGCCTCCTACGCTTCCGGGTGGGTTTGACCAAATACTGCAGAGGGATGGGTCCAGTCTGCACGGAGGTACACACATGGTTAGGATGGCACATCAGTATGTAGGAACATTTACAGACAGGACTTTCTGTCTATAGATGTTATGCCACTGATGAAAAATCTCCTCACTGTCATAAATCTCATGAAAAGACCAGAACCATCAATAAACAGATCTTATTAACAAGTTTTATCCGTGTTGTCAAAGACTGGTATGTGTAATTCCAGTGTTGCACTGGCTGACACGTTCCTTCATTACCACAACATGGACAATTGGTTTAATTTGACTCAATCCCACATACACTCTCCTGCTGCCTTAAATACCAGAGCACCAAGAGTGTATCAGAGTCCTGCATCAGGTCAGGTATCGGCTGTTTGACCCACAGATTAGGTGATTTGCAGGTGGTATTTGTCTTAATTTTATTTCCGGGTTCAGCTCTGGTTAAAACAAAGAACATGTGGGTCCGATTACGGGATGATAAATATATTAAAATCAGATTAAAATAATGAGAATTTGGGGCATCCAGCGGGTTCGTCAGTAGAACAGGCATTCCATATACTAAAGGCAATGTCCTTGCTGCAACATCTACTGGTTTGATTCCAGCCTGCAGCCCTTTGCTACATGTCGTCCCCTCTTTCTCCCACTGTCACAGTTAGACTGTCCTGTCCAATAAAGGCAAAAAGCCAAAAATAATCTAAAGAAAATAATGCTAATTTAATGGTTTAACAAGAGTGGAATATGAGAGCTGCTTCAATCAGGTGTGTTACTAACAGGCAACTAATTGGTCATATATGTGGGGGACGGGGTGGGTGCCATATATATCAAATCACAATGTTTGTTTTCAATAACCTCCTGGTAGAAAACCCTTGTGTCTGGTTAGTTTTTAGCCAGCTTAAAAAGATCTACATCAGTTCAAGTGTACGTTATATTCCAGATATTTTTACTGCTTTACTTTGCCGCCAAACAGCTTCATGGGTCACTGAAGCAGTTATCTCAAATTCACAAGAGTCCATTGAAAAAAAAACACACACATTAAATTTACTTTGTAAAACATGGGAGTTGCTGGTCTACCTCTGCCTTCATCAATTAGTGTGTAAGGTAAAGCAGTAAAAAATTACCAAATATGGCATACACTTAAAGTGAAGCTGATTTTTTTTTAGGTCGGTCTGTTTAGGTGGCTGAGGTTAGGGTCCCCCATCCACAGCAGTACATTGCTTAGCTTCCCTGCCTGGTACAATTGGATTATCAAAGACGTACATAAAATGAACACAGCAGAAACTTCAGACATGTCGGACTACCATGTATAAGCAGGTCTTGAAAATCAGGCCTGTGCAGGACTCTGGTGTGTATTAATTCACTGCAGAAAATAGTCCCCAAGAAACACATCATATACTCCAGTTTGAGAAATGTTTGCTGAAAACAGTGCCCACCTGTTTATAGAAACTACTGAGCCTTTGAAAATGTAACTGTATTTTTAACCACTTTTCAAAGCAACACATATTCAGTAAAAATAAATGGGCCTAGGCTGAGAGCCACAGAGATGGATGGATGGAAAAGGGTGAAGAGTATTTTGATTTTGGTCTTTTCATGGGATTTGTTTACAATGGCAAAAATACAGTCTATCACCAGCCTCATCCTTTAATACATCCTAGTCCAAATATCACAGTTGTTTCTGTTACCAGAAGATAACTGATGAGGAGGGAGTGTGATATTAGGAGGAACTGCCCATTTAATGCCCCATTTCATGACATCAATCTGCATTAAATCATCTCACAAAGACGGTTAACAGCTCACACTGTACTGCCAGAGTATTCCAATCTAGCTATGAGCACCTCCAAATAAAGACAGTTTATAGACAGTGGTCAACCACATGACAACTCCAATATACTCAATAAGATAAATAATTAATTGATAATATTTGTTGGAAGATCACGCC